CTACCGCCTCTAGCATCGCCGCTGCCTCCTCCAACGTTCCACAGCCGTCTTTAAGTAGGTTTAATGACCAATGGACAAAACTTAGAAAAATGAACAGGCGTTGTTCATTGTTTGGTGGAAAATTTGTAGTAAAAGAAATGAAAGAAAAATTTGATTTGTATTCCTTTGACCTTAATTACAATTGGATTTTCTGATTATAAAGGAGAGGACAATTAATCTAGATTCTCCTATTTGTTTAATTCTGGGTTCATCACAGTGGCGATGGAGTGCCTCCCTCAAATGCTCGCGTCTTGTTTGCTCTCCGTTGACGATCTGACGTTTTGCTTCACTGGAGCGATGTCTTCTCCTCACGGTTTGACACTGTGGAGAACTTGCAAAGCAAGTTTTAGAACTCTGAATGAGTCTAGAAGAACTCTATGAAAGAGTTGATTTGAACCGAAAATCGGTTAGTAAGCCAATGCCAGAAGAAAGTTCTGGTGGTCGATCTCCAAATCTGAGAATGCTCCAAAGATCCTCTCTTTGCTGCCAAGCTCCAAGGTCAATCCGAGCTAAGAAGTTCTAACCATTAACTCAGTTAAGTTTCTTCTTATTTATAGGGGATTAAGGGGGTGTAACCGCCCTTTAAATCACTCCTAAGTGGGGTGTAACCGCCCCCAAATCGTGGGAAATAGTTTTAGAACTGTTCAAGAGTTTAAGGGGTGTAATCCCCCCTAAAATCTCTCCATAATGGGGTGTAACCGACCCCATTAAGTGGAGATACAGTTTTAAAACCGTATAGGTTCTGTTTGAACCAGTCAAACACAAAAAACACAGGTCTGACCCCCGCGTTTTGATGTTGCAACGCAGGTCCGACTCTGGCGTTTTGATGTTGACATGTGGGGAGGACCTCTGCGTTTTGGTGTTGACACGCGGGGAGGACCTCCGTGTTTTGTTCTGGGAGTTTGGAACGCGGCCACAAGCTATGCGTTTTGAATCTGGGACGCATAGGTGAGCTCCGCGTCTGAATTTGAAGAGACCGTCAATTTGTAGTCTCCTTTGCTAGTGCGTTGCAAAGATCACCATCTTGTAATCTTCATCTTGGCTCCTTGAAAATATGAGAGTCGTTAAATTGTAACTCCCGATGTTGATTGTGAAGGCTGTTGATTAGAGCTTTCATCGGTTGTCGTGAAGGTCGTCAGATTGTAACCTCTATCATCGGCGTTTGATGGGGGATCAGCTATCTATTGTGATTTTTAGACAGCCTACATTCATCTTATGGAGAGCTTCGTAAATTATGGCTAAGTTCTGCTATTTAGGCGGGCTTCGCTTGGTCAGGCGACCTTTGTTCGTTAGACGAACTCTGCTTTTTAGGCGAGCTTTGCTTGTCAAGCAAAGCTCGTTAGCAGACGAGGTTCATTATGTCAGGCGAGCTTTGTTAGCTTGCCAACATAATGGACCTTGCCTACACAACGTAGCTCGCCTATATTGAGGACTTAGTGAAATTTTTGATTTCTTGTCAATAATTTCTAACTTCGATTATCGTTTTGATTTATACCAATGGCTATATTTTACAAGGCTCTTACGAGGGTTAGAAATATTAGCCACCTATAGTCGAGTTTAAAGATTCCCTGCTCCTACCAGGTTCCCCCTCCTTAAACCTGTACCCGTCTTCTCTGTAGATAGCCCTACGGAGTTAGAGTGGAAAATGCCCAAGTGACACTATCTAACGCTGTAGGAAATCATAAACGACGCGACGATGACTGATTCTCATCGTCTGAAAATGAAGAAGCTCCATTTCCTCTTTGGTGATGAAGTAGCTGATCCGACAAGTATGCTACTTGGCAAGAGCAAATGGCTCCGCATCGTGGGCGATGCTAGCAATTTCATCCCTAGCATGACGAGGGGATTCTCGATCATCAAGCTGCGATCACTCTCTGTACCGAGAGTAATTAATTAGGACCTGACTCCTGCTCAAGATGGAGTCACTTGTGGGATCTTCATAGGTTCAATAACTGGGTTTGGAATCGACAACTCTAGCAAGTGCATCACCGCTTTGCACCTAGGCTTACTGCAAAGCGATTTGCCGATGGGAGAGGCGACAGCGGTGGCGGAGGCTTTCCGTCATCGCTTCTTCAATGTCGGGGGGCAATTTACTTCCAAAGATTTTAGAGCACCCAAGTGAATCAACTCTACGCCAAACAACAGCTTTTGGTGGTCTAGGATCACAGGGTTTATATTAGAGGAAAACTCTAATATGCAGGGTACAGAATTGTACTCTGCCATCAGAGCCACACAATTTGGTCTCAAGATCAACGCCCTACAATTCTAGAGTTTATTAGAGCTCTACTTCCCCGAGACTGGCACATTCATCACACCAAATAGAGAATTGGGCTTCATACTTCACGAGATGTATGAAGTGTTGGGACTACCGATGGGAGAATTCCTGTATGAGGACTATGTCCCTGGCCAACCAGAGATTGAATTTCTCTCAGACAAATTCCCTAAGGTGACGGAGACTCTTTGGGAGCTGTACTGCCATTACCACATCTGCCTACACACCATTAGAGTGGTGGATCATATGAGGAAGAAGAAGAGGACTCCGGGTATCAGCCACAAAAATTAGGCATATTACCTATTTCAGAACACCGACAACAAGAATATGCCCATCTTACCGCTAAACGTGTGTCATCAGGTAGAGGCGGAGAAGAGAATATTCGAGGGTAAGGTCTTAGAAGCCCTCAAACATGATGGAGGAGGATTCAAGGTAGGAATGACTTTTAAATCAATCCACCACCAGGTCAAGACCCCGATCTTAACTAAGGCCCTACTAGATGAGTATCTTATGTTGTGGCTGAAAAGATGTGTGGTTCCCACACAATCTTTTGAGGTGATCCTAGTAGAGGTCGTCTATCAATTTGTCTGTTACCTTACGAACGATCATATACACTGTTGCCAGCTATGGTGGCGTGCATACAAAGCGGGCTCCGTACGTTGATAATACAATTCTACAAGGTGTCATACGTCGAACAGGAGGAAGGAGAAGAAGTAGCCAAAACTCCTAACCCCCGCGTCAGCCTATCATACACCTACCTGATGGCATGGTTTGTGCATCACTATGAGTGCTTGATGAGTGTGTCAGCCGCAGGTCAGGAAGGGAAGCTAATTCCATTTGTTCAATGGCTGTAGAAGTTGTCATGGAAGTACAAGCAAATTGTGGAGATGAGGAAAGCTTTATCTTTCTTTAGCAATTATAACTTCTACCGATGCTTTCCGTACTGCTCTGATGGAGGATTTGGAGAGTCTCTCTGGGACATGCTAACATGGGACAACTATACTGCCTTATCTTTGGGTAGCTTCTGATGGCTGTTCAACATTCGGCCAGGCTATCATGTCTTCCAGAGAGGCTCAGTCTGCCACATGGAGCCCTATCTCCCCTATTGATTTGCCCATCAATTCGGGTACGACCAATTGTATGTGGGGAATACAAGCTCTTAGTTGAGCTGGGAAGAGAGTTTGATTGATGGAGCGTGGGGCTTGTTTTGGACTCAAGGGGGGTGTACCAGCGCACATTTCAGATTGTCGCTCAAGGATCACCCATTTTGTCATACACTGACATATTGTAAGTGGTATCGAAGTGTGAGTGTGACTTCTGAAGGGTTTAATCCTTATAAGCCTTGTTTGGGGGCGCAGAGGCATCGATTAGATGAACTTCCCCGTGCATTAACACGAGGAGAACGCCAAGTTAAGGACTTTGAAGAGGTTCCTCTTGAAGACTTTGGGGCTTATGAGGGGCTGTATGACTTCTCGGGTGAGGAGTTCCAAACTCATTACGCTCCCTCCCAGCTGACCCTTATGGAGAAAAGGAAGTGGCCGTGGAGTTGGCTAGGGCAGGGGCACTTTTAGAGAAGCTCAGGGGCCCTATTGCAGTACACATGTAGATACCCACCTTCGCTCTTGATCTCCCAGTTCTGACAAAATGTCAACGGGAGATGGAGGCTGGTCCTTCTGAGGAGGAGGTGACCAAGAAAGCCCACCACGATGAAGTAGTGATGACTACAGAAGCGGGGGAAGACCACACCACAACTATTCTTGAGCCAAGTTTAGGGGTGGTTACATCTATTGTCTCAACCCGCTCAGATACCGAGGCCATCCTACCACCTTCCATCATTGCAACAGAACCAATCCCGTAAACTTCGAAGGCGATGGTGTCGACACTCGTTGCGGATCAACAAGTGATGGCTCAAAATACTCAACCGATTATTTCAGAAGATATCAATTCTTTTACTCCTTTTTTAATCATTAAGTTAAATATGACCACCTCACGTTTGTTCCAACTTAATGTAGGAATGACAGAGGCAGCTATCGCCGTCTCCTCTAAAGAAGAAGAGGAGAGGGAGGCTATCGACAAATGGAGTTGTTTGTTGGTGTTCTTGCATGCGGGGGCGTCAACCTCACCTTAACTGCATGCCACTGAACAAGTAGACTCACCTACCGAGGCTCCGACTCAAACTTAAAAGGCGCTAGTTCAAGAAGAGGCACCAATTTAGGAAGAGAAGGCACTAGTTCAAGAAGAGGCTCTAGTTTCTTTGATGATTATCGTGACTTCAGCTCCAATCTCAACAACCATCAAACCGGTCATCGAAGTTAAAATCTCTTCTTCAACTAAGACCTCAATGATAATGGTGGAGCCCTCAGTATTGGCAGTGTCCACTACAACACTCACGATTGTGGCCACCAGTGCTCAAGTTCAAGCTCCAATGTCGATAGCAGATGAAGCTCTCCTCTCCCCCGCAGCTCGCATGTGGAAAAGGGCCATGAATCGAACGATCGAGAACTTTCAGACTTTTATCCACGACAACATTAAAATGGCATTGGATGAAGGCTGCTCCTTTGAGGAGTGCAAACCGGTCTTGCAAGTATACTTGGATAGCTTGACTAGGCTAATTGGCACTGATGCAGCTTCTCCATACCAAACACGTTTGTGGTTGGTGTAGAAATACGTCCAGGAGTTGCTCGCCCTCCGATATGCTACATCCAACATTCTCAGCTTAGCTTCCGAATAGGTTCAAACCGCTCTAAAGGAGCGGGAATGACTTTTGGAAGGGACTATTGTGGCGCCACTGGTTTCACACAAGATTGTAGTCCAGGGTGAACCCAGAGATGTCAAACCTGCCATGCACCTACACTGTGCATAAACACATTTCACCAATTATAGTAATATCCTCTATTGGAATCAAACAAAAGTGTAGGTACAAAACAATCAAATATGTAAATGAAAGCAATAGACATGATATAAAAAAGATATCTCATAAAAAAAAGAATCATGTCTTAACAGTAACCCATCTGATAACTGATATAATAAAAATGTCAACATGAATCAATTAAAATCGTACTAAGGCACACTGCCTTTACAATATAAGAATGAAACTCTAATGTCTGAATAAAATAATGAAAATCTACTGTGGAGTCTCTAAAACTTCATGTGCCGGTGACTATGCAAGAACTCTGTTATCCTGCGGCTCTCCGTACCTCTGTACCGCCTGGAAGAAAAGATGACAACAAAAAGAACAACAATAAGAGCATCAGAGTGTTACAGCAAGATTACCTCCATCTGCCCAAAGGAGAAGGGCTACTAGGTGAAGTGAAGGCTCTATCTATTAAGCATAGCCTACCTTCCCCCGTATCTAAATGGGATTAACATTTAGAAACCTACAACACGAGACGTAGTACATCGAGCGAAATAATCTAAACAAGAAAACCCTCATGTATATACCATATGTCTCAAATTATAGATTCCTAAACATTAATACCAATCTAGATATAAACAATCTAAATGAAATTTATAATTAGAAACCCACAACATGAGACGTAGTACGTCGAGTGAAATAATCCAAATAAGGAAACCATCATGTATATACCATATGTCTCAAATTATAGATGCCTAAACATTAATACCAATCTAGATATAAACAATCTAAATGAAATCGATAATTAGAAACCCATAACATGAGACGTAGTACGTCGAGCGAAATAATCCAATTAAGGAAATCATCATGTATATACCACAAATTGTAGATGCCTAAACATTAATACCAATCTAGAGATAAACAATCTAAATGAAATCAATAATTATAATCAACAATACAAGACATAGTACGTCAAGCGAAATAATTCAAACAAGTAAACCCTCATGTATATACTATATATCTCAAATTGTGAATCGCTAATAATTGATCCCAACTAACAAGTAAATAAAATAGTAAAGAAATATAAAGATATCATTACATCGTATTTATAATATCTTCAATAATCACTGGAAAGATAAAATAAATACCAACATACAATCCCGTATACTTTCAAGAGCAAAGTATTTCGGTCATATATCTCAAAGATGAGTTGAACTCATATTTGACATCCACCCAAAACTTAGGCTATAAATAAACAGTCTTAAAGTCGCAGACTACTCTGTAGTTATCCTAAACTGTGTATATAGCTCATTAGTCTCATTGCGAACTCAACACATAGCCTGAGTGCGGAACAACCTACCATATAGGTATCCAAATAAATGGCTAACAATCACCATAAATAGACGGTTTACAAGCCTCATCGCACACTTGTGCGGACGGACTGCTATACAAAGCATCCAAACCAAACTTAATGGCCTGTACATATGGAATATTGATACACTACCTTATGTAGCACTGAACTGGGCTCATCAACGATATCCATCTTATGCATAAATTGTGTATATCTCGTATATCGACATACTATCCCATATAGTACAGAGTTTTGCTCATTAACGATATCCACCGAGTGTATGAACAATCACTACTCTATTATAATAGGATCAAAAAATCAATATGAACCCCCTTGGGATACCCATGTGTGTGCAAAGGCATTGTACTTGTGTATGCGTGAATGTACGTGTAAAGAAGTGTGGCTCAAATCCCACGAACTCGTCTCAAAATAGTGCAAAACAAAACTAGAAAAGTCTGGAAATTTGCCCTTAAGTCGACTTATAAACCTGACAAGTCGACTTATGGTAAGTTGACTCATGGCCTGGCATAAGTTGACTTGCGGCAAGTTGACTTATAAGTCGACTTAGTCAACTTTCAGGTTGTCCTTTCGACGTTTTCTGCGATATTTCTCAAACAAAACTCATTCTATTCAAAATGGAACTTAGGAAACAGGTTATAAACATGTACAACTAATTCACAGAGTTTAGTTTACATGATTTAGCATTTAGATAAAAACTAATTAGGGTTAATAACATGATTATACAAGATTTTCAATAAAGACTTGAAATATCAAATGATTGCCATAGCATGATCGTTTATAAATATGAACTGTAACGCCCCTCCTCTGGGAGGTACATAAAAATTTGAGCATGACCTATCTGTAATAAGAAGGGTCTACCTGCTAAATCTTTATGCACATCACAACATAGATATACTGAAGGGTGAAAAATAAAGCAGTAGAGATGCATATGCAATACCCAAGATCACGAGGTTGACAGCAGAGTCCATTGAATACCACAATAGAAGAGAACTAAAGGGTAATACAAAACATTACAATAATAGCAGTGGATACAACATTAATACATGTTTTATAAGTCAAAGGTACTACAAAAGTGAACATAATTAACTCCTATTAAGATTTTCCTCTGGAGCTAATCTTCAAATTCAGGGTCTGCAATGCCCTTATCCTTGCCAGTTGTATGACCTGCGAGTGGATTCAGAAACAATAGGGGTGAGCCTAAGGCCCAATAGGTAACCATAAAAAATCTCGGGTACAATCCAAGGGAACGAATGAAAATGATAGACATAGATATCAAACTTGAACAACGGGGTCTCAACATTAAGTTGCCATTCTTATATCATAATCATTGACCGAAGTGAAATAACATGTAAAGATGAATAATCAATGTCTAATATTCAGGATTCCAAACTCCCCAATCATGGGATAATCAATAAACCGCGCATGCCTTTATACACCCACCGGTGAGCGTCCTCACACAGGGCATTGTCCCACCGGGACACTATAACATTACCACCCACCGGTGAAGCTTACTTCACACAGGGCATAATCCATGAATATAGACAATCAATCATCAACGAAGAGAGGAATACTATCATTATCAATAGTTGAACCATCGAATCAATTCGAATTGTTGCAATGAAATCATTCAAGGATATCGAAGGTATAAAATTGAAATAAACAACATTAGGATAGCAATGATACCAATCAACAACGAGCCCATGCATGAGGTGAATCAAATAGGAATATTATGAAAATGATAAGATATACAATTAGCATGGGAAACTAACTCGCAGGAATTTCAAGAAAGTAATCAATCGAACTCTCAAAGACTTGAGAGGAAACAATGAAAGGTTACCTACCGATTATGTCGGGATCCTCTCGGCCAACGAATGAATCCAAGATTCTCTGTCCTATATATACATGTATACCCACATGAGATTCTAGACACTATGTCTTTTAAAACTTTAACTTAAAACTTATATCATGGTATAAGCTACACCCTAGATGATTGCATCTAATATCTCTAATATGCACAGCAACCTAAGTAGTGTACATGCAGCAGATTTAGGTGAATAGATGGTACAGCAATTGATGTCCAAAATGCATGAAACTAGTCTCAAATGACTCCATTATGAGTCTAATTTCAGAATATAAAACTTTTTCATCAATGCATGGTGTATAGTTAGAGTCATGCTCTCAGAAAACTACACATATCAAAACTGTAGCAGAAAAACAGAAATCATCATTTGGGATGAATAATTTATTTCGGGTACTTAACTATATCCCAAAGAGCTCATACTTTGTATGTAAGTAATATTATGGATTAGCTTCCATGTCCCATGAGTTTCATCAATTTTGCATTTTTAAAATGCATGTTACATGCAAAACAACACAGGGGGGTAGACTGGAATTTCCAGCACATACGCTAGCTATTAGAACTAGGTTTAGGCCTACCAAACATTATTCAAATTAATTCAAACCCCTATCAACATAAATAAAATTGAGTCTAGTTTTAGAAATAGAAAGAATTTCATGCATGCATGGTATATGTTGAGATATATGCTCTTTACAAAGGACATGACTCAAGCAGACAGTTTCAGACACATGCACTGAGTTAAACCATACTTTTAAACTAGTAAATGATCTTAGAATTAAACAAACAAGATCCCAAATTAAATCCACGAATATGTAGTTTCTAGAACAGAAAGAATTTCATGCATGCATGGTATATGTTGAGATATATGTTCTTTACAAAGGACATAGCTCAGGCAGACAGTTTCAGACACATGCAATGAGTTAAACCATACTTTCAAACAAGTAAATGATCTCAGAATTAAGCAAACAGAGTCTCAAATGAAAGCCAAGAAAGTCTAGTTTTTATAACAGAAAGAATTTCTTCATTTGGATATGTACAAGAACG